CATCATGCAGAGCCATTGTCGGAAGGCCTTCTCGACCCACGCCACCACCCATCATAAGAACATGGCATCCCTTCTACAGGAGTATTTACCCGATGATTCCCGCTATCGTGTGGTCGCCGTCAAATACGGGATTGGCTCTGAATTGAGCCCTGACGAGTGGGAGGGTTGCAACACTAGCGAGATACGTGTCACGCACAACTACCACGGCGTCTCCTGCCATGCCGACGTCTTCCAAATGCTTCAATCGAGCGATCCCGGCTCGCCCTGTGGTCGCTGTCCTCTTCCTGTCAACGCATCACCATCGTCCACCATCACCGTATGTCGGTCTTCCCCCGGTGACCAGTGTGGCCTTCTGGATGACCTACTACCGACTCGATGGGATCATATGAACGGCGTAAATGTTCGAGTACCCGCCAACCCAGAGGCTGCCCTCAAGTCGCACTTTGGCCCCACTAGTTTACGTCTGATTAACATGAAAGAGATCCCCCGCAATTACAAGTACGGCTCCTATCGCTTGGTAGTTGGTCAAACACTTCATGACGAGATAGCTCATAAGCATTCACCCGACTCCGATGCTCAACACGCGAAGCCCCTCGAAAACTCGAGCCTCACGAAGGAGGATATCAGTTCGAAGGTGTTTGCAGAGACTACCGCTGCCGATTCAGTGATAATAGTAAGTCCTACGAGTATATCTAAGGGAGCACTAGCATCCCCGCCATATAATAGCACAGTCACTCTAAGAGAAGTGGAGACTACTTCATTATTGGAGTCGCATCAACCCTTGAAGGAATTTTCTAATCCCTTCATATCTGTGTCTTTCGTAGCTTGCATGTCTTTTCTTGGTATAGCACTGTTGTATTTTTTCGTATTCAAAAGATTCCGTTCCACAAGCATTCCGTCATCTACTTCAACTCCGTCATCTTCCTACCGCCAAGTTCACAGCCCTCCGAATAGTGTGTAACACTACCATGGAGCGGTTGGTCGCGGAAAGGAGACAGACGTTTGTGTCGTTACATTCAATCCATACATGTGCGTATCATTTGTATTTCACCCAAGCCCTTCCGTTTGCAGTGTTCATTGAGTGCAGACTATCACAGGTTGGCTTCCACCATGTCATTTCTATGGGTGCTTTTGCTGACTGTTGAGGCCTTCCTCACAGCAGTCTTCGCTTCCTCAGCTGCACATCCTTTCATCAGAGTGTACGCTGAGCAGAACCCAATATCAGCTCCCTTGGAGCACCTTTT